CCCACTAATTTCGTTTTAATTCTTAAAAAAGTAAATAAAATTGATAATTTAAGTCCTGTCAAATGTTATATAAACTTTTAAAAAAAGTAAAAAAATGAATTCTATTGCATAATTAATATTATTATTAGATAAAGCGAAAAGCAACAGCAATAGATGTCTCTGAGTGCCGATGTTAAACATATTTGACATTCCGTGTCGAACCTGGGTGACAGGCAGTGTGACCGCTGGAAATTTTCAAAAAGTATCATTTCTTGAAAAAAGTGGCACATATCATTTTAAATGGTGGCACAGAAAGTGGCACAATTCATTTCACATTTTATTTAAAAAAAAAAAAAAACAGTTTAGAACAAAACAACAAATTCATCTATATTTAATACTATATAGTAAAAATATATGTATGTACATATTGCATATTTAATTAGTAAAAAGCTGTAAGTTCGGCCAAGCGGAACTTCGAATACCCTCCACCATATGGTACAAATTTGGCAATTTTCATAAAATTAAAATCCATTAGAAATTCTGTTAAAATCTTAAAAATACCGAATGTAGCCGAACATGGCCCATTTACAATACCAAAACTCCTGCAGACATAACATATATTTGAGCAAAATTTTATCAATATACTTCAATTCGTTCGGAGCTAGAGTGATTTCCACAGACGGATAGACGAACATTGTTAAATCGACATAAAATTTCATGCTGATCAAGAATATATATATATATATATATATATATATATATATATATATATATATATATATATATATATATATATATATATATATATATATATATATGTATATATATATATATATATATATATATATATATATATATATATATATATATATACATATATATATATATATAGATATATATATATATATATATATATATATATATATATATATATATATATATATAAAATATTCAGTCTTTTGTTATTAATATAAAATCTCGACAATATTTGAACACATGAAAAAATTGAAGTAAATTGCCTTTAATTACAGAAACATTTTCTTCTAATGTTTGCGCCTCATAATCTATATATATTTGGGTTACAACCTTGATGTAACAACAATTTTTATAATCAACTAGCTGAACCTGGTGCGCTTCGCTACCCCTTTTGATTTAATATGCATTCAAAATTTTATTTACGAATATATGTTGGTTTAAAAAAAAAAAACAATTTAAAAATTAAAAAAAATTTATTGCACTACTTTAATGCGTAAATAACCAAAACCATTAGAAAAGCAGTAACATGACATACATACACGAAGGGTTTGTCTTTCGGATTTATTTATTTCATAGCAAATACCAAGCGTGCAGGAAACTGCAATCTTTTGAAGTTGAGTGGCATATCTATTGCAATTATTGAATTCGAGATAGCAACATACTTCGCCGTAATAAGCGTATTTCAAATCAATTGTTTTTGTTGTTTTTTAGTGTTAGCCTAAGGCGTTGTGGGTCAATGGTTCTTATTAACATCATATCCCAATGTGATCCAATTTAAATATAATTTAAAAAAAAAAAAATACTTCTACACCAAACTCCGCCACACCTTTCATATTTCATTGAAATTGGTGCGTCAGATATGTGAAATCGGCCGATAATATATATATGGAAGCTATATCCAAATCTTAACTGATTTCCAATTAATTTGTCACATTTATTATTGTAAACAAATTCCGCCACACATTCTGAATTTCATTGGTATCGGTCATATATATCATGTTTGGTGCATAACATATATGAAATATATGTTAGCTATATCCAAACCTCAACTGATTTCAATATAATTTGGCAATTTTTTCTGATGCCAGATTTTGTCTCTCTCGCTTTGGGTGCATCAAATATGTGAAATCGGCTGAGTATATATGGGAGCTATAATCAAATCTGAGCGTATTTGAATATAATTTGTCAAATTTATTTTTGTACCAAATTTAGCCACTCATGCCGAATTTCATTGGAATCGGAAATACGTATAGTGTTTTGTGCATCAAATATGTGGAATCGGCGGAAAATATATATGGGAGCTATATCCAAATCTGAACCGATTTTAATACAATTTGACTAATATATTTTCTAATCAAAATCCCGTAACATATTCCAAATTTCTTTGGAATCGAACATACATATCGTGTATGGTGCATAAAATACATAAAATCGGTCGAAAATATATATATGAGAGCTATATCCAAATCTGAACCGATTTTAATATAATTTGATAAATGTATATTTGTTTTAATTTCCGCTACACATTCCAAATTTGATTGAAATTAGAGATACATAGCGTGTTTGGTGCATCAAATACATGAAATCCGTCGAAAATATATATGGGAGCTATATCCAAATCTGAACCGATTTCAATATAATTTGACAAATTTTTTTTGCGGATTAAATCCCGTCACGCATTCCAAATTTCATTGGAATCGAACATTCGTATTTAGTTTGAGGCATTAAATGAACGAAATCGGTCGAAAATATATATGGGAGCTATATCCAAATCTGAACCGATTTCAATATAATTTATGAAATCAATTTTTTAGATAAAATCTATCACACATTTCAAATTTCATTGAAATTGGGGATACATAGCGTGTTTGGTGCATCAAATGCTTGAAATCGACCGAAAATATATATGGGAGCTATATACAAATCTGAACCGATTTCAATATAATTTGACAAATTTATTTTCGGATTAAATTCCGTCACACATTCCAAATTTCATTGGAATCGAACATTCATATTGTGTTTGAGGCATCAAATGAACGAAATCGGTCGAAAATATATATGGGAGCTATATCCAAATCTGAACCGATTACAATATAATTTGGCTTATTTATATTTGTTCCAAATTCCGTTACGTATTCCAAACTTGGAGACAGTATCTTCAACCAATCAATAGATATGTGCATATAAAATCTAAATTTTTGGGAGGTACCTCCGATTCTGATGCTATATCTCCAGTTCCAAGTGGAAATTCAAAAATGTATATAGCCCATGTTACTTTCAGGCGATGTTGCAGTATATATGGAAATTTTCAGGAAAATCTATTCAGCGGTTTTCGAGTCCATAAATTACAAACAAACAAACATACAAACATTTTCCTCTTTTATAGATATAGAAGATGGTCCAAATTTCAAGACGATTTATGAATTCCTTTTTTACAAAGTTTCTGAAAAAGCGAGTTATTATTTTAAGAACATTATTTTAAGAACATAAACTAAAAAATTTCAATATATCTTGCTTACTATTGATAACTCATTTTGAATGAATATATATATATATATATATATATATATATATATATATATATATATATATATATATATCTATATATATATATATATATATATATATATATATATATTTTTTTTTTTTTTTTTTTTTTTTTTTTTCAATTGCTTTCCACATTTTGTCTCAAATTGTTCTCTCAGAAAATAGTGTTGCAGTACCCGTCTGGAAACAGATTCGAAAGAATCTGATTGCCTCCTTGCACTTTTGAAGTAATTTAAAATGTCTCTTAACAGCTGTTCCACGTTCTTTCACAATAACAATAGAGTCTTCTAGAAATAAACAAACACAACAATGTTGACAACTTTGAGCATGCGAAAACCACTTAAAGCACCTAATATAAAAGCGTTCGCTCTGAAATTTGCTATCGCTAATTGGAAATGGCAGCGTACGACGCTTTTCATTATTTAATTTCATTTCATTCTTTTAAATACAGCGTTTAGATTAAAATATATGTAGTTCAAAAAAAGGTGGCACAAATTATAAAAAAGTGGCTCATTTAGGATCAAAATAAAAAAATGGCACAAAGGTATCATAGCCCAAAAAAAGTGGCAAAATTGATACTTTAGTGGCACAACGGTCACGCTGGTGACAGGTAACTTCAAATGTACTATTTTTTTCTAAATAATGAGCTATCAAATGAACTTAAGTGTGGAATTTCAGATTTTTATCTCGACTTTACACCGGAAGGGTTAAAATTTGATCACAACGTCAGTGCTTTAAATTTGGTACTTCAAACTCACAATAGAAGATAACTGTCAATGTTTGTTTTCGTTTTGGTACATTGACATTGTAAGAGCTCATGTTGAGGACTTAAACTACATTTTCCAACAGACTTCGATGGCATTTGCATTTTAGAATAAAAATCGATGGTCTTATTTTTCATGGCTGTGGATATTAAAGTTCCGACAATTAAATTTAAATTTTAAAAAATACTATGCAGTTAATACTACAATACTGGTCGTCTTTCCCAATAATAAAAATATTTGAGGATACTAGGACCACCTTGTAATTTATCAATAGTATGTTTCCACTATACTTCCCGCAGGGTATGCTCCAGTTTGCTACAGTTTCCATTTCAAAAGTATAGTTTTGTAATAATGCGGAACTCATAATCATATTTTCCATCCATTGAAATTGTTACTGTTTTTGCGTAGCAATGTTGAAAGTAAGACAATTGTAGAAAAAATATTCTTTTGAACAAAAACAACATTATGTACGAAGTTGTATTAGAGGAGAGTAGACATTAATTAGGAGAAGAAAAATCACTCGTATTAAAAATATAATTTAATTTAATGTAGATTGAAAATTTCGTTTGAAATTGAACATTCCTCCCGTTCTTCTCATTCCATACTGACAGTATCGCGAAATGCAATAAAAAGGATTTTAAATTTTTTAATACAATTTTTTCAAATTTTCATGCGGTCGCGTTTTTTGTATGAACGGGAGGGAGAAACTAAATCAAGATAGGAACGCATTTCAGGTCAGGTTCTTGATGTTTTTCTAAGATTTATTTAAAAACTCAGAAATTAAAAAAAGCAACATGTGCATAAAATCTCAATTTTTTTTATAATGTAAATATAATGTGAGACAAAAACATTGTATTTACAAAAACAAGTTTTATGTTCACTCGTTCGCTTTAATTTTCTTTTATTTTTTTTTTCTGTTCATAAATATATAAATGTGTATATAATCAATCTTACCCTGTGCATTGGATCTGCTTCTGATGCCAGTTCATCAAGATAACCTGAAATGGTTCTTTTTAGTGCTGGAGAGTTCTGTTGTAGCGTTCTAAGACCAGCTTGTAGAGTCACAGCATTTTCAGTTTGATCACACTTGCCTTCTTGTTCTTTTCGTTTCTTAAATCTCCGAAAATAGTCTTGAATAAGATACGTAGCATAAAATTTACCGACTGTAACCTCATCATCATTGCCAGGTGGAGGAACAACTTGATCCAACAATCTAGGATTTGTTCTTTTCCAGATTTGCTTTATTGTTGCACGCAGTTCGGCATTGGCTTCGTCAATATTACCATCTGTTTTAATACTAAGGGAAGTTCGAACAACTGCAAAAAGGGTTGCGTTAAATAGTACCGTTCCATCTGAATTGAGTGGCATATTCATTGACACTAGTCGTTTGCATGCCATGCGGTGTGGGCATAGTTTACCAAAACCCAATGGAGGAGATATTTTACGCAACAAAGTCACAACATCCAAATGTTTAATACGACCCTTTGCATCTGGATCATACTCACTCCATAATCTAATAAATTCATCTAAATGATGTGGTCCTAAGATTGACCAATCACGGGTGAGATAATCAAAGTTATCCATTATGACGGCGACAAACAAATTAATAATCTGTAAGTATAAAATCTATTTATAAATATTTAATTTCGTTAAGAGAATTAATAATAAACTTACAAGGAAACTGCATAAGACATAAAATGATATAAAGTACGGAAAAGCTATACTTGATCCGCAGTTATTTACAGCATCTGATTCGGGATCGCATTTGACATCATCTCGCGGAGAACAAGCCATCATGATCTCTTGCCAAGCCTCTCCTGTAGCAGAGCGAAATAGAACCAGAACTGCTTGAGGAAATGTTTGAAAATTATTGTTACGGTCAATCGATGTCCCTTCTTCTAACATAATCTTTCCGAAAACCTATATCACGAAATATATAATGTTGTTTTACATAAAATAATGTTTTTAAAAATATAGAAATACAAGACACATTTGCTTTGCTCCGTTTTTTTGGAGTAAGTTTTAATAATCTTTAAAAAAATACATCCCTATCTGCTCTTTTCATGATATTGGTATGAATATTTCAGTGTTCTGATTACTTCATCCACATTTTCTAACTATATTTTTAAGAATTTGATACTTTGGTTTCATAATGGGTTTAATCTCTATGTTTTACATTCCCTACTAAGAGTTCGTAACAGTTCCTAACATTTGTAAACACAAATTGTCTATAGGTACACGCTTTTCTATAGGCTCCATAAAACGGTAGTTGCTCATATTCAGTATTCCGATGATTCCATCTACTTTTTGTAACAATATTTTTAACAATTCCTTACTTAGAGTTCGCAATGGGATCTATGCACTTTGGAAGATTTTGACTTTTATATGTTCACGTATTCTTCCGTCAACAACTTTCAATAAGCTGCGGCTAACGATGGCTTATACTCTGCGATTTGTTAAAATTGTAAAGGGCAGAAAACGAAATTCCCTAACACTTACAAGAGTAGAATTGTAGAAGGCCTTATAAATAATAATTCCACCTCAATTTCCTAAAGATCGAAGGAGAAACGAAACAAGATAAAAAGCAGTAAGGCAAAACTTTGAACACCCTCCACAATTCCGAACGAATTTGGAATTCTGTTAAAATCTGAAAAATACCGAAAATAGCCCTATATATATCCCTTAAAAATATATTAGGGAAAACCCGCTAAACAATAAGATTGAAAATTGCCCAATAAGATTGAAAATAAGCATTTATTTTGCAACCGAATTTTAAATAATTTTAAATAATTGTGTATTTGTTTTTACAAAATAAGGCCACCAAAAGAAAAAATAATGTTTTCGGGGGTACCTGTGCTCCACCTTCTGTAAGTGTTCAATGGTGCCGCGTAAGAAAACGACGTCCGAAACCAGTTATACCAGTATCACCATGTTTAACTGAATCGGAATAATCTCAAAGCCAACTTTAAAGCACCGTATATGAATATGCCGCTTCGAAAAACCACATTTGATATCCCAGTGGGAATTTCATGATCTCGTTCGGGATTTAGGACTGTCGAAAACACAAACTGTATGTCTACGTTCCACACTTAAACAGTGGATCTATTTGCCACAAAATGTAAGCATTAGATTTCGGAGGACCGGGAATACTGGATTGTTTGGATCACTCTTCACCGAAAGCACTGAAAATAGTAATTTGGCCTACTGAAACGATGTGATCAAATTGCTGGAACAACTTTGATATAGTCATGTATCACAGGATTGACAATTATTTATTGATGCGTCAACAAAACGTAATATACATATTTGTTATATAGTTAATTTGTTTCGCTTATATATAATAACCTTCTGTTTCCAGGCTTGAAAACAGTGCTTATGCATAATGATCGATTGCTCCATTCTGTACCATTGGTTTACGCTTTCACATCAAGGAATCGTATGACAGTACGTCTGTAATACTAAATGCCATTACAGTAGGCATAAATGGCTAATAGTGAATAGGTAAAGAAAATTATGAACTTATAGTGAACAATATGCAGTCAGCCTATTATTCATTGGGTTACAAAATCCCTATTAAATTGTACTATCAACATTCTCATTTAAAAAGATTTCCACTAAGTTTAGGACAGATGAGTGATGAGCAAGGCGAAATATTTCACCAAAAAATATCTAAAGTTGAGAAACGATACGAATGGTCGAACTTTGAATACTCTCCATTTGGAACTAATTTGGCAATATTCAAAAATTGTAGCCGTTATATTATGATCTATAGGACGACGCGGTACTGCCTATCACACTTTTTCCAAAAGCTATTACAATATTCAAATAAGAAAAAAAAAATCAGTGAATAATATATCTTAAATCATCAAAATATGGAACACAGAGAGGAACTATTGTACGGGAGCTATACCATGACGTATTTTCTGTCGTACACTGTATAATACAATACCAAATTTGAAACAATTCCGGTGAATAACGTCGCCGAAAATATGGAGGTACCATTGTGTGGGAGCTATACCAAAACGATAAATCGACATAGAATTTTGTGCCGGTCAAGAACATATATACTTTGTGGGGTCTAAAATGTATATTTCGAAGTGTTACAAACGGAATGACAAACTTAATATACCCTCCCTACAATGGTGGAGGGTATAATAAAATAAGTATGCTTGCTATTGAGGGCCTGATCCGTATTCGGCTCGACGCGACCAATGTTAAGTCCGCACTATAGAGACTCGGGGAAAAAGTGCCGACGAAGCTCTCCCAATAGAGCCAGCATGTCCAATACGTTCGTGTGGCCGTCCAAAGGTATAGGGGGTTAAATAAAAATAAATAAATAAAGCACGATAATTTTAGTATAAAAGTAGGCCAATTGCCTTGTATATTTATTGGTGAACGATATTACCTTTTTTGTGGTACAACGATATGTACTTAACTTACAATAAAGCACGGGTGTTAGCGTGCAAGTTCAAGCGTTGATACAAATTTAACTCAATTTTGTTTATCTGATGACATTTAGATGCCTAAAGGTTGGCGGCATGTCAAATCAATCATATGTTTGTTGAAATATGTCTATTCTACAACAACAAGGATATAGTAATTGGGAGTAGACAGATTTCAACGGCTTTGTCCTTTTAAATTAAGGAATGGGTGTTTAACTTGTTTTTAACATCAATTCCTACTTAAACATTTGCCGCCTTCCTTGCAACAGCTATAAATTTCAACGTCTATAATTATACAATAATGGTATAAAAAGGATTGAGCAAACCAGTTACATCTTTTATTTATTTATTTATTTTTTTTTTTTTTTTTGTTAAAGAAATGAGCTTACAATTTAAACATTCGGGGTCGTTAGCGATCTCAGGCTATTAGGGACCAATTACACATTCGGGGTCACTAGAGACCCCATGCTATTAGGGATCTTGAAACATTTGTAGCCATATGAGGCCATTAGCATTAGCCGCATGTTTTTCGCTTGATGAGCCGCCAAACCACGAACAATCCGTACGATATACGACGATAAACATTTATGTAATAGGACCCGTTATAATCCCGCCGAAATGTATGTTCTGAGCGAGCAGTGTACCGGACAAAAAGCGAAAACTATGCTTTTTTACCCATTTAGAGTACAAATCTGCCCCTATCAAAATATCTACTGGACAAGAATCCAACGATCGGATCCCAGTTATTCGCAGGTACATCAAAAATTGCCAATGCCGAAAGACAACTATTAATTCCGCGTTGTATGGACTTACTTCTCGCACTAGATTCCTGATCAAACACAGGAAGCGCGAACAATGACTTCAATTGGCTGTGGACAAGCAACCGTCGATTATTATATGTGGAATTCAAAGCATTCCACGCCGGTTCGAAACTCCGATGAGTTAAAGGGAACTTCGAGACGATTTTTCGAGCCTCACCACTAGCCTTATTAACAAGATGACATAGACGTTCGATATCTGTCAATCGAGTGTTATTAATGAAAACCACACTTCACAAATCTCTAAAAGTGGGCTAGGTCAAAATATTTCCATCGAAGACCTCAAGAAGGTATCGCCAAACTGTGAAAGTTATCTACATGTAGAGGATCAACAACAAAGCTTGTGCCTATTCCAGGATTCCCAATATTCAAAATTGCGGAGCTAGATGCCTGTGTTTCACCTCACAAGAAGAGTGGGACAACGAGCCAATGTAGCTAACGGTAGCATTAGAATACAGCTTTTCTACAAGAATAGTATATGGATGCTCCGTTAAGGAATCTACTAAACTGCTGCGAGATGAGTTCAGGGACTCATTTTAATCACTCTTAAATTCAGACAACAATCTTTTTATGGTCGATGCGCAAGTTAAATATTCTTTAGACGAAACCTCATATTTGCTGCAAAGTGTGTCAAGATCTTCTGGACTTTCTACATGTGAGAGTCAGTTATTGAAAGCTTCCTCGACTGATTTCCATAGCTTTCCAATTTCTTCTTGTCTAGATCATAAATATCAAATTTGTCTTCCTTCATTGCACCGAAGTATGCAGTGAATCTCACCATAGAGCTGGAAGCTCGTATAAACATATTTATAGGAGTGGAAGCAATTTTTAAAAATTTAACACAATAAAGGAGGAACTATATTACAGTAAGATTTAATCGAAAGCTTTGCAACAAAACTCAAAATAAAAGAAGTATTTAAAACAATGATATCTAAAACTCGTTTAAGGACAAAAAGGAAGTTAACTTTTGTCGAAATGTGAAGATAATAAGCTCAAATAGCGGAATAGATAGTCCAAATTAAATCTAAATTCTCTCGCTATAATTTAAGTTTCAAACCAATAGAACCAATTTCAATATTATTCCAATTTCCAATCGATACATAATTTTCAATTTTAATAAAAATCGCCAACAATGAATTAAGACAATAACAAAAACATCACAATGGGAAATAAAAAAATAATTTAAATACACCAATTAACAACTTGCAACGATATGCAAAGAAAATTCTTATTGGAAAAAGCGAATGGTAAAATTTATTAACCGAGTTACCGAGTAGCGTAACAAAAAGAAAACCACAAAATTAAATTAAAACTCAGAAATCAAAAATAATTTAAAATCAGCAAATTTATTTATGTTGCAACTATTTGCAAAGAAGCTCCCTACACAATTCAAAAGTCCAATTGAAAGTTGTAGGGTGCACGACAATTTAAAATGTCCAAAATATTTTCAAAATGCTCCCCGACACTAATTTTATATATTTACAATACTAATTTACCGACCAGATACTGTGTAATAATACAGTGACGGGAGACTGTGCACGACACAAAATAGAATTACCCAAACGAAATATATATATAAATATAAGACGGAATATATATAAATATAAGACGGAATGACAAAACGATGATGCTGGAGTATGTATCGATACGTACGTGTGTG